TATTTAGACTTATTAAGGAGACTGGGGGGAAATGGTCAACAACAGTTAGTGAGGTTATAGCGGAGAAGGACGGATCGGCGATTCACTCGCAGGGAAGGCGACTGGGACGATGGGCAGAACACTTTGAGGAACAGTTTAACTGGCCTCCAGCCACCATTGCGCTGCCCGCTATCCAGTCGGACCCTGAATGGGACATAGAGACAGGTCCCCCAACACTAGAAGAAGTCGAGAAAGCGGTAGGTAGCCTGAAACGGGGAAGGGCAGCAGGACCAGACGGACTACCTGCTGAGGTATACAAGAATGGTGGTAGAGTTCTCTTAGTCAGGCTAACGGAAGTGTTAGCCAGTATATGGGAATCAAATACGATCCCCTCCGACTGGTCTAAGTCACTGATCATCCCAGTCTTCAAGAAAGGCGAGAAGTCCTCTTGTGATAACCACAGAGGAATCAGCCTGACAAACATAGTGTCTAAGATCCTAAGTTCTATAATTCTCCGACGCCTGAGTGGAGCTCGGGAACAGCAAGCCCGAGAAAACCAGGCAGGCTTTAGACCTGGCCGTGGATGTATCGACCAAATATTCACACTGCGCCAGGTCCTGGAACATAGGCATGCTTACAGACGCCCGACAATAGCTGTATTTCTCGACCTGAAGGCGGCATTTGACTCCGTTGATCGAGAAGTCTTATGGCAGTGTCTGTCACTGAAAGGCGTGCCTAGTAAGTACATCACCTTATTGAAAGCTCTCTACTCGAACACTTGTGGGCATGTTAGAGCCTATGGTGAGTTGTCCAGGGAGCTATACTCATCAAGTGGTGTCCGTCAAGGATGCCCACTATCCCCATTCTTATTTAATTTTATCATAGATATTCTTATGGAGGTTTCCCTCTCGTCACCTAATTACAAAGACGTTGACCGGATCACAGGTGAATTTTCCTTAGATCTAGAATATGCAGATGACATAGTCCTGTTAGGTGAAGACGCTGACAAGATGCAGAGTCTTCTGAACACTTTGAGTGGGAATTTGAGAATGTTTGGGATGCGATTTTCACCACCCAAATGCAAATTTTTGCTCCAGGACTGGTCTTCAGCGGTACCGCGGTTAACAATAGAGAGTGAAGTGGTTGAGTGTGTTGACCACTTCACTTACCTGGGAAGTAGGATCAACTCCGGTGGGTTAGTTGCCGATGAGATTTCTGCACGGATACAAAAGGCTCGATTGGCTTTTGCCAATTTGCGCCACCTATGGCGCCGCCGTGATATTCGTTTGTCTATTAAGGGTCGCGTGTACTGCACAGCAGTCCGCTCTGTTCTACTGTATGGCTGTGAAACATGGCCATTGAAAGTGGAAGACATGAGAAGGTTACAGGTATTTGACCACCGTTGCCTTCGTAGTATAGGACGTATTCCGTGGTGTCACCATGTGAGTAATGCAGAAGTTAGGTGTAGAGTTTTAGGGAGAAGAGGTAAGTCAGTCGACGAGGTTGTGAACCTTCATCGACTGAGATGGTTGGGACACGTACTACGTATGCCTAGTCACCGATTGCCTCGTCACACAATGTTGGCTGAGGTGGGTTCAGGCTGGAAAAAGGCCCGAGGTGGCCAGACTAAAACATGGCACCAATGTATGAAGTCTCTGACTGTTGGTTTAAGCCATGTAGGACGATGCAGACTAGGTGGTTGGGGTCCACGGGACAAGAGGAACCAGTGGTTGGAGACCCTAGGTGATATGGCTCAGAACCGAAGTCAGTGGCGCAGATGTATACACACATTATCCTCATCTTAACAACGCTATACCGAATCTCACTATTTTGTCACTCCTCTTTCCTTTCTTCTCGTACTTTATATTTCTTTTGACTGCATTCACTTATCTTCATCCTTCACCTCACTACCTTTTTACTTGATGTGCTGATATGAGGTGTGGCAACTCGGACCGTTACGCAGTAATGCCTGGTCCTATGTTGATAATGATGATGATATCAGGTGAGCTGTACTCATCGAGTGGTGTCCGTCAAGGATGCCGAGTGTCTCCATTCTTATTCAGTTTGATCATAGATATTCTTATGGAGGTCTCCCTCTCATCACCTGATTACACACATAGAGGTTGACCTAATCGGTGGAGAATTCTCGTTGGACCTGTAGTGTGTGGATGACATAGTCGTGTTAGGTGAAGACGCTGATAAGATGCAGAGTCTTCTGAACATTTTGAGTGGGAATTTGAGAATATGTGGGATGCGTTTTACACCACCCAAATGCAAATTGCTGTTCCAGGATTTGTCCAACAGTGCCTTTATCGCAGCTAACAATAGAGAGTGAATTGGTTGAGTGTGTCGACCACTTCACTTAGCTGGGAAGTATGATCAACCCAAGTGGCTGAGTGGCCGGTGGAATGCACACACGAATACAAAATGTTCGGCTGGCTTTTGCCGACTTAGGCCACCTGTGACACCGCCTTGATATCCGATTGTCAGTAGACAATGGTCGTGTGTAGTGTAGTGTACCGCAGTGCGGTCTGTTCTACTGTATGTCTGTGAAACATGGCCAGTGAAGGTGGAGGACATGAGAAGGCTGGCTTCAGGTGTTTGACTACCGTTACCTTCGTGGTATAGGCCGTTTTTTTTGTGGTGTGACGACGTGAGTAAGGCAGAAGTGAAGTGTAGAGTTTTAGAGAGGATAGTGAAGTCAGTTGACACGGTTGTGAAGCTTCATGGAGTGAGATGGTTGTGACGTGTTACGTATGCGTAGTGACCGATTTCCTCGTCACCGACTGCTTTGTCACACAATGTTGTTTGAAGTAGGTTGAGGCTGGATGAGGGGCCGAGGTGGCCAGACTAAAACATGTCACCAATGTATGAAGTCTGTGACTGTTGGTTTGAGTCATGTGGTGCGATGCAGACTGGTTGGTTAGGGTTGTTTGAGACGGACTGTAGATGATATGTCTGAGAACGGATGTGGGTGGCATAGATGTATGCACACATTATCCTGATCTTGACGACGCTATACCGAATCTCACCATTTTCTTATTCTTCAACTCGAACCGTTACGTAGTACTGCCTAGTCCTATGTTGATAGATGCTGATGATACCGAAGCTTAGTAAGTTGTGTTTAAAATAAAACAGTTGTGGGCAACAAGCCTCTATATGCAGCTACCAGATGCACTGAAGGATGATAGTGAGTGCCTATTAGTCAAATTAATTGGAGTGACAGCTAACGTATGGCATATATAGTCTTTTCCGACTGGTCTTAATCGTTGATTGTCTCACCTTTGTGGGGAAGACAAGAAATCCTCCTGTGATATACCATGAGTAATCATTCTGGCGAATATACTATCTGAGCTCATATTATATTATTATCATTGGACGCCTCAGTTAAGCTCGGGAACAATAAACTCGAGGGAACCAGGCGAATTTCAGACGTGGTCCTGGGTATGTTTACCAGATATTTACCTTCTACCACGTCTTGGAACAGATACACGCATGCCAGCGGCATTTAACTCCGTCTGCCGAAATGTCTTATGACAGTGCCTCTCACTGAAGCAATGCCGGGAAATTGTATCACTCTGTTGAAAGCACTGTATTCCAATGCCGATCGTCGTCTTGAAGCCTCTATAGGTAGGTATCTTGTGAGTTGTGTTCGTCGAGTGGTGTCTGTCAAGGTTATCTACTAGTTTCATCTTAATTTTGTTATAGGCGTACTTATGGAAGTCTCCCCCCCCTTCTCTTTACTTTGCAGAGACTGACCTAATCACAGAAAACTCCTTAGTTGATGTAAAGTACAAAAATAACACAGTCGTGTTAGGTGAAGACGATAACAAAAAGTAGTCCTAGTGATACCCTATGTTGAAACTTGAGAATGTTTGGGATGCGTTTCTCACCATCCAAGTGCGAGTTGTTGCTCCAGTATTGTTTTTTTATAATAGTGAATGAGATACTTGAGTGCGTTGACAGTTTCACTTTTTAGGGGAATTCGGTTGAGCTCTTGTAAGTTAGTGACCTACGAAATTTCTGTTAAGATAAAAAAAAGCATAACTGACTAGTGAATGCCGAGTGTAGTGTGCTTCAGTTGACTCTGTCGCACTATATAGCTGTGAAACATGACTAAAAAAGGTAGAGGACTCCAGAAGTGTTCAGGTATTTGACCAGTGTTATCTTTGTAGAGTAGTCCACATTTCGTGGCGCCACAGTGTCAGTAACAAAGAATTCAGATGTAGTAGTTTCGGTAGAAATCAGTCGATGAGATTGTGAACCTTCATGGACTCAGGTGGCTGGTATATATGTTACACATACCTAGTCACCGCCTTCCGTGTCGCACAGTGTTGGCTGAAGTGGGTTTTAACTGGAAAAAGGTAGGATGTGACCAGACTAAAACATGGCGTCATTACATGAAGTCTTTGACTGTTGATCTGAGCTGTGTAGGGAAATATAGACTACTCCGTTGAGTTCATATGAGAAGCAAAATCGCTGATTGAAGACTCTTGGTGCTATTGCTGTGAATCTCCTTCAGTGAATCAGATGAATCCACACATCATATCCGTCTCAATCGTCATACCAAATTGGATTATGTATTCGTTTCTTCGTGTTCTTTTTTGATGACGTTTTAACATCTTTGTCTAATTTCTTCCTTATTTTTCTGTCTTACACCTTGATACAATTTCTCTTGATGTGGTGATATGAGGTATGGCAAATTTTACTGTTAAATAGGTTCCATATTGATGCTGACTAATTGAATGAATCATACTATCCGTTCAGGCATGACTTTTCGTTGCAATCCACATCGAGCTGGATTAAATTGCTTGTTAATTGAACTATCTAGGAATGTCGTGGTTTGATATACTTGTATTGCTGAAATCCAGACTTCGGCTATGGTAGTATTCAAAACAGTGGCATGCAGATTATCGACAGGATGCTTTATCAGCTTACCTAATTTTTAATAGATGATAATTTCACTCGTTATTCTTGTTATTCTTACGATTACCTATTAATTTACTTGTTTTTTTATTTAGTGAAATACGTTGTTCAAAATCTTCACCAATCAGTCTACTGTACAATTATGAACTACGTGATCTGGTCAAATTTTCGCTGTTATGCATATGTACTGTTATCTTGACAAAGTATGACAGTTCGGTAGCTTACCATGAGATTCGAACACAATCAGTTATCAAAATTTATATCTTTTTCAACTTATTGGAGGTAAATATGCATGTATAGTAGATAATTCCCTTTTAAAAATATGATCCATTGGATTTCAACCGACTGGCTTAATCATAACGTGCTGGCTACGGAACCTGAAGGTCCTGGGTTCGATACTTCATGGGACGGGGTCACGGGTGCGCACTGTTGAGGAATCACATACTAGGAAGAAACAACTGTCCAGTGCCCCCAGGATTCTAATATTCCGCCAACTGACGTCGGTCCATAATGAATACTAACTTGGAAAATCTCTTATTATTTTATTTTTTTACTATTTTTCCTCTGAGTTCCTAGTGGAACATAGGGCTTCAGTAGCACGTCACCATTTCAATCTATTCTCTGCAGTCTTTTCAACCTCGCTCCACAACAGCCCATAACTTTTCATTTCTTCCTCAGGCAATCTCTTCCATGTCACCCTCGTCTCAGATGCCCAACTCCTCGTTTCCCATTTCGCTTCCACTCGATGGCCTGGCCTGGCCTGGCGTGTGACATCCCCAATCGGTCTTCTCAGTGCATATCCAATCCAATCGATCTCCACTTTCTTCTGCATATTTGTTGGACGATGGGTTGTTGTTGGTTGGTTCGATGCCTGCCTGTCAGCCAGCCAGCCAACCAACCAACCAACCAGAGTTCCTTGTTCCTTATTCTTATTATTCTGGTCATCTAATCTGATCTGATCTGATCTTCAGTATCGGGCGAGTGAGCGTAGGCGGTAGGTGTTGATGTATGTCTGCAGTTTGTTGGAAATGCTTTTCGTGACGCACCAACTCTCTCAACCATCACATAGAAGCACTGACTTGACTGACATTAGTGTTGAGAATCCGGATGTTGTTCACGCTTTATGTTGAATGGAGTGGAGTGGAGTAGATCTCCACACTGATTTCAGATTGATGAAGGAAGGCCTGTATTGCTGTCTTTCCTATCCTGACTGACTTCGACATCCTCATCTGTGCGTGTTCCGATTGTAGTTGAAACGATGCTGCCTATGTGAGTAGGTAGGTAGGTAGGTGGGTGAGAGAGGCAACTTCCTTTAGATTCCTCCCGTTGATGGTGATTGGTGCTTGTTGTTGTTGTTGGTGGTGGTGGTCTGGTATTTTCATCACCTCTGTCTTCTCTACGTTCATCCGAAGGAGGTACCGTCTTCCTTCACTGCCTCACCTCGCCTCTTCTGGCTGCTCGTTGGTTTTCAACTGTAGATCTTCGAGTTTGTGCGACAAGACATTAGACATAAATCATCATCATTGGTGAAGTCGAGATCTTCTAGGGTGTTTTCATTGGTCAAACAGCGTATTCCCCTCTTCTCGCTCCTTACAGTTTGTCGCATGATCCAGTCCAGTCGAGTAGACGACGGTTAGGAAGATCATGGGTGATAGTAGGCGGCAACCTTGTCTTACTCCTTTTCCCTATCTTCAATTCAAAGGCGTCGGTGAGCTTTCCATCGTGAATCACTTCGCTTGTAGTATCATATAGCATATAGCTGCTGTGGGATCCGGTTGAAAAAGGTTTGTTGCACTAAGACCGTATTGTTGAGGGAGCTGCCAAATTACTTCTCTGTGGATGCTGTCGCAGGACTTTTCAAAGTTGATGAAGTTGTGGTAAAGAGCTGGCCGCCACTGTATCTCCGCAAACTCCCAAATTAAATTTTCTTTTCGTTTGTCTTCGCATCATGCAACAAATAAACTTTTGTCTTTCTAACCAATTCCTGATTTCTGTAGGACACCTATTTGAAGCTGCTCACTGACTTTGTTATATTAAGATAAGGTAATATGTTTACTGAAAGTTTATAATTCCTAAATTTTAAATATACCAGATGATAGGCTGTTATGCAGTTATGTTAATTAAAAACCTTATAGGACAACAAAAAGTCGTTTAGCCAGATAGTAACGCATAAAATTGTGAAATTAAAATGTATGAAAACATGTAGCTAAGTTTTATAGGTATTCAGCTTTCAACCACTGGTGACAAGTTTTATTCCTACTCCACCTAGTTGAGTTTTGGCATTTGAGAGTGTCACGGGCGTTTACCTAATACTTTTGGCTTCTAGCTTCGTATATTCAATACGGTAATATTTTTCACGTGTTTTCAGTCTTTGTAGTCATTGTATTGCTTAACCTTGTATTTCTACTATACTTCAATGACTGTTTACACCAATGTTAATCTCAGGATTCTTAGAACATTATTTAGGTTCCAATTCAGTTGATTGCTATCTCGAAGGGGTTCTTACATTGGCAAGTAAATAGAATTATCAGACTGATCATATCGTGTTACGTGTAAATTGAATATTTGTAATGTATGTCAACCGAGTAGCTGACACACCCGCTGAATGTTGTTCCTCCTGGGACTGGTTAGAAGGAGCGGAGTGAGGTGGCTAGTGTACCACATGACGCTGTGCGAAGAGAGATAGTTGTGTTGGGTTAGCATCTGTAGGTACCCCACGACTCCCTGGATGGAATACGAGAGATTATCGAACTCAGAAGCTTTAAATTGTAGTAGACATGACTGGGAATCAAAACCAGAGGCTACCATGTTACAGTTTTCTTGTTTCTTTCATCAGTGACAGGCAAAAGGAAAGTAATCAATGCTTTTTTAAATGTGTCGTTGATACTGCTTTTGTTCCCATCTTAATATTGTCATAATGTTACTTTATTACTTTGTGTGATGGACCTTTTGGTGCCCATGTTGTATCAAGTTTGTCTTTCAGTAGTACAACAAAATGTTTGGTCAGACGTTGCTTATATAGGTTTCATGCTTACTGCAAGTTACCAATGGCGTATTTCTACACTCCCTAGGATATTTGTATGTGATCTGCATAGATTTGGACTTGTTTTACATGGTGCAAAAGTTTGAGGACACATACACCGACTTATTGGATAAGCAACGGGGATTAGATAACGTGGGATTAATTACTTCGTTGTATGTGTTGTTGTCTACAGACTGTGTTTGACGACTGACTAATGGCTTGTTCTATTGTTCTTATTTGTAACAAATCAGTTTTACTACCTACACTTTTTAGTCTGTTTATGTTCCGAATATACCATACATTAGATATCGCGTCGTGAGTGTATTATTAGATTCAGAATTGCATAACTGCACGATGGAAATACAATAATCGAGTGACCCTAAAAGTCACCCTAATATGTACTATAACAGCCAATCATATTTTTTTCTGTTTATTGCAAAAATTGCTTTTCTGCTGGTGATAAAAATGCCAAACTGATTATTTCACTGATTTCCTATTATGGTCTTTGTAGCCAATTCAATAATTTCCTAGTTCTAGAAATGCTTTTTCATTTTACTACCATATGGATTGATATATATGTATGTAATTATGATTTCACTTTTTATTTTAAGGTTGCTGACCGTTTATTGTCTGCTGTTTGTCAGGATGCTCTGGATGATTTATTATATACAGTCAGTAAACCAAGATCCGATATGACATCATCGAGTGATTCCGTAGAAAGTGGTTTTATTTTCTTACGAGATATTGTCTTACAGTACTGTTTCGCTTTCGTATGTTTAAGTGAGTCGATGTACTAATGTAAGAGTAGGAATTGAATATTATGGTGATGTATACTTCTGTATTAATTTGTTTGTTGAGTATTTCACATAATTATTATTATTTTTATTATTCTCTTGGGTTCCTAGTGAAACATAGGGCTTCAGTAGCACGCCTCCATTGCACTCTCTTCTCTGCAGTCCTTGGAACCTCGCTTCACGACTGTCCACGAGCTGTCATTTCTTCCTCACACGATCTCCATGTCACCCTCGCCACGGACGCCCAACTCGTCGCTTCCCATCTGGGTTTTACTCGACGGCCTGGCTTGTGATGTCCCCGAATGGTTTTCTCAGTGTATGCCAAATTCAAACCATCCCCACTCCCTTCTGCATGTTTGTTGAGTGATAGGTTCTTGTTTGGTTCGTTGGCAGGCCAAAGTTCCTTGTTACTTATTGTTTCCGGCCATCTGGTCTTCAGTAACGAGCAAGCGTAGGCAGATATTGATGATGAATGTCTCTAGTTTTTTGGAAATGCTTTTCGTAACGCGCCAAGTCTCGGAGCCGTACAGAAGCACTGACTTGACGTTGGTGTTGAAAATCCGGATCTTATTCCACATGCTGAGTGCAGAAGATCTCCACACTGGTTTCCGTCTAATGAACACCTGTCTTGTTTTTCCCATCCTGACTTTGAATTCATAGTCTGTGCCGCCTGTAGTTGAAACAGTGCTGCCTAGATAGGTGAAGGAGACCTCTTTCTTTAGGTTTCCACCATTGATGGTGATTGCAGCTTGTTGTAGTTGTTAGTGGCATTGGTTGGGTATCTTCATCACCTCTGTGTTCTCTATATTCACTTGAAGTCCCGTTTTCGCTGCCTCTTCTGTCAACTTGTTAGTTTTCACCTGCAGAACTCCAAGTTTGTGTGACATTAGACATAAGTCATCACTGGCGAAATCCAGACCTTCTAGGTTCTTTTCTGCGGTCCAGCGTATACCCTTCTTCTCGCTCCTCACTCTTTGTTGCATGATCCAGTCCAGTCCACTACAATCAGGAATATCATGGTTGATAGTAGAGAGCCTTGTTTTACTCCTGTCTTCACTTCAAAAGCATCACTGAGCTTCCCATTGTGAATTACTAGACATGTGGCGTTTTCGCATAGCTGTTGAATGAGATTGATAAAGGTTTGTGGTATTCCGTAATGTTGAAGCAACTGCCAAATTACTTATTGATCGACGCTGTCGAAGGCCTTTTCAATGTCGATGAAGTTGAGGTAGAGGTTGACTGCCATTCTATACTCTGTTCTATGATGATGAGAAGCGTTGCAATTTGATCCGCACATAATTTGTATTATAAAGACGAAAATAATCTCTATCATCTTCACTTCTTCATTTATTGTATCCAACTAACCGCGGTAGTTAAGACAGTTACTTTGAAGTTGTTTTCTTTGTGAAAGTATGTTACATTTACCTTGCCAAAATAGTAGGCAGAAAATTTCTAGCAATCAAAATTAGTAATGTAATTGCTTTGAAAATTCGGAATTAAAATCATGAGTTAGCTAGGTTACTATTTTTAAGGAAAGAGATTATAACAATTCCCTTAGCCAATGAAAAATAATAAATTACTATACACTAGAATATGAATTAATAAAAATGTATACATCTCTCTTTAAAATGATAGGATTGTTTTTAAACTTTGAATTATGTATACGTTTTCCGATCACAGTGAATTCTTTACTCAATCTATATTCATAAGAGAATCATAATTGAATTTGGGGAGTTTGTGGGGATTTAGTGATTTTTCAATTTGGTATTCATTATGGACTGACATCAGTTGGAGGAACATTAGAAACCTAGGAGTACTGGATAGCTGTTTTGTCATAGTATAGGACTCCTCAGCAGTGCGTGCCTATGACCCCACCCCTCCAGGAATCGAACCTAGAACCTTCGGGTTCCGTGGTCAACATGTTACTATTGACCCACTGGGTCGGAATCCAGTGGTCGATATATCCAACTCCTGCTACTTCACGTCATAGCGTGATCATCACCCAATATCATCGTTGAGTATTTGTCCTCATGGGCACCAGGTTTGCCCCACCGGTGCTGACCCTTCATTGAAACTTCGGGAATCACCTCTTAAAGCTAGTCAGCAATGAACTCTAGACCACTAAAACACCTCAAAACCTCTCAAATCCAATTGATCTAGTGCTCATTGGTGACAAACTTCGAGAGAAGATTCCTGAAGTTCTAATGAGAAGTAATGACCAGTAGAGCAAATCTGGTGGCCATAAGGACAAATACTCAACGATGACATTGGGTGATGGTCGGACTATTTCGTGAACTGGCAGATGTTGGAAATATGGACGATTGGATTCCGATTGACTGGCTCAATATTAACGTGCTGACCACGGAACCTGGAGGTCCTGGGTTCGATACTTGGTGGGGGTGGGGTCACGGGTGCGCATTGCTGAGGAGTCCCATACCATAACGAAACAGCTGTCCAGTGCTCTCAGGTTTCCATGATGACTACCAACTTGAAAAATCATTAAATCTTCTTTATTGATTAGGTGATTTATGCTTCATTTGTCGTAAATTCGCATAAAAGGTATGATTCTATTAGCACGAAGGACCATCATTAATCTAAATGCAATTTTACTCATGTTGTATTTGAGATATATTTTTCGAAAATAAAGTCATCCGCATTTCAACTGCGGTCCAGTGGTGCAGATATTTAATTTATCACTAATGGGAAGTAGTAGAATGTGTTGACCATTTCACTTACTTGGGGAGTTGCATCAGTCCGAAGCCTGTTTGGCATTTGGCAACTTGCATCACCTGTGGCGCCTGGTTGATATCCGACTATTTATCAAACGAGGAGTATACTGCGCTGCAGTCCATCCCGTCCTGTTATACGACCGTTAAACGTGGGAGATATGAAGCGATTACAGGGTTTTGATCACAGATGTCTTCGTAGCATTGGTTGGATTTGGTAAGATCATCGTGTGAGTAATGTTGAAGTCAGGTGAATGGTATTAGGCAAGACAAGCAATTCAGTGGATTGATAAATTTGTGAACCTTCATCGATTTAAATGGGTTGTTGTGTGTATGCCGAGTCACCGTCTATCTGGACGTGCCTTTCTAGGGTAAGAGAAGTTGGATTAGGTTGGGAGAGAGTTCACAGGGGCCAGAGCAAGACGTGGCGTCAGGATTTGAAATCCTTGATTGTCGGTCTAATAAGTAACAGTTGGGTGGATGGAGAGATTGATAACCGTATCTTTGTTCATCGAATCAGCACCAAATACGTGCAGTAATAGAAATGTTTCTGCATCTGACCAAAATATATGGAAAATTTGGCTACCCTTGTCACAAAGAAGAACTATAAGAAGTGTAGAACTATAGAGGCCATGTCTCAAAGTTGTGGAGTTACATGATATGAATGTGGACAATAAATTGGGCCCGAAATGTTATCTAGTAAATGATACTGTGTCGTTGTGTGACAATTCTAGTAAGCAGAGTAAAACGAAATTACAATGTTCCACAGTGTCCAAGTTTTACGTGGTAGGGTTTTATATTGTGAAGGGTAAACTGTTTGTCTTCATTCAGCTGGTCCCTTTGATCTATTAGAACAAAGCAAGGGGAAAACACTCAGTATGATAAAATGAGCTAATTTTATTATTTCACAATGTCTTGTTGTCTACAAACACCCTGAAATCATTAAAAACTCCCATTACAATTGAAAAGCCAGTTGAGTGAGCCAAGAATATTCTTTTCAATAACTTCTTCAGATCTTACAGTTATATGTACATTTGAGGAATTGGGCGTTGTCAATATAGAAATTTCGCTTATCAGTTTATTAGTAATATTATACAGTTGAGGAAAATAATTGAGAAACGTCTTGTGTAAACGTTTATGATAGAATCGATTATTACTAGGATTCAATTCAAAGTGATTGATTATCTAAATGATTGTACAGCGTGGGTAATGAATGATATACGGTGATAGTTTAATAAAAACAATAGGAAGGTGTTTATGACAATTGGATGAAATAGACTAAGAAGGATAAAATAGGTTAAGAGAATTTGTAAAATTTATAAGGAAGAAGGGGTATCTACAGTATGGAATTAGATTATATGGGGTAGGATGCTCATGAATTTGTGCATTCCGAATCGGATCACGGCAATTGTAGAGGTAACCCTTGCTTCTTTTGAACACACTACTTGGATTGTTTGATCCTGATTGCTTCTGCAGTTTGAAGGATCCTATGCCGAGTACCTTTTGGCAAGTCGGTGGGAACGCTGTACAGAATGGAAAACGACTCATTCGTATCTACTTAATGGTTCGGTCCAGCCAAATCTACTAATATGGAGCTGGTAGTGGTCTCTACCACGCTGGGAAGCGTTCGCGAGCAACGGCTGACGTAACTGGCTCGACAGGAGCAGTCAAAGTGGTCAAAACAACAGGAAGTGGCCAATGTAGGCAATTTATCGTAGTCTCGGTGTCACCGTTGGGCGTGTGGAAAACGAAATTTGTAATTTATCAGCACTGAAAGTTCTCTGAATCAACCTCTGCAGTTTGTAAACTAATATCTCGCTGAACAGCAATGTGTGTTTAAGGCAAAGCGTATTTCAAAATTCACAATGCAACAATACGTCAAGGAAATATGGAAACTAAATGACAGTAAAATAATCAGAATCAAAGTTCACTAACACCATGATGTAACAAAATATTCTCGGGTCAAGAGGGCAAAATTAAAGTTCAAAGGTGTAGGAATTAATAGTGGTATTTGTGACGAGAGAGTTTCTGCGCAAATAACGTCCATTATTGAAAAAGTTTAGATCATGTAGTTCCGGTAATTTTGAATCTGGAGCACCTTTTAATCTCTCCTGGATGATGCGGCATTATGTTTTGCTTGGGGTGGACAGGAGCATGATTCCGTGCCAGTTTTTGCAAAGACTTAGGTCTCCCTTCTTTGGAAGTTTGACAAGGTAAACCTTCTTCCAATCACTGGGCAGGTATCTTTCCTTCCTTCCAAACCTTCTGCAATAGTGGTGTGAGCATGTCCGCCGTTGTCCTTACCTCTGTTTTCAGTACTTGTGGAGGAATTCCATCTGCTGTTTTCCCGAATTTCAGCATATTTATGAGTTTCAGGAATTCGACTTTTGTTGGAGGGCTTGTGTTCACTGATAATTCTACGGTTGCCGTTAGTATTTCTGGGCGAGTTGCAGGTGGTGGTGGTGTTCGATTCAAGAATTTTTTGAAGTGGTCAGCCCATCGCTTCCTTTGTTTCTTCTCTTTGGTGACTAAGCTTCATTCACTGTCTGTCATTGGTTTCATCTGTGTTGATCTCTCCCCTCTCAGATGGTAACCTGGCTGTTCGACGTAATGTTGTCAGGTCTCTCCTACTTGCAACTTGTTCTGCTTCACTTGCGAATGTGTCGTAGAAGTATCTTTTGTCTTTCCGTGCACTCTTTTTTACTTCTTTGTCCTGTGTAGTGTTTTATAGGTTGTATTCAGTTCCTCTTTTCGTTGTTCATCCATTCACTGCACTGGTTCATCTTCTGCTCCACCATCTATCTCTCATCTATCAGCTTCCATGTGTCCGTCGAGATTCATTCCTTGTCTTGTTTATTCAGGTTTCTTTCCACGTCGCTTTCACAGAGTTCCAGTGTTCTTTCACGCAGGTTTTCTCGGGGGTATTCCTTAATGTCTCCCACTTTTTCCTGATGACTAAGTGACGTGAATATGTCCCCTGTAATTTCGTCCTTCAGTTTCTGTTCTGCGTGTTGAACTTCAACTGTGGTCTGTCACCAGCTTCTCTGAGGGCTTTCAACTTGATTTTGAAGGTTCCTTGCACTAGGTAGTAAGTGGTGTGAACCTACATCTGCTCCTCTTCTTGATCTTATGTTCTGTGGGCTATGTCTCCACTTTCTTGAGATTGAGATGAAGTTGATCTGATTTCCAGTGTGTCCATCTGGTGAAATCAACTGCATGTCGCTTTGTAAATTTCCTTGTGTTTGTACACACTGCCTCCAATCACTAAATCGTTGAATGGGCAGAATTCTGCAAACAGTTTTCCATTCTCGTTCATTTCACCGAGTGCTTCTCGACCCATGGTTAGTTCTCTTCCTGTGTTGTCCAATCCCGGTTTGGCATTAAAACATGTCACCCATTAGAATTTTGATGTGGCCAACTGGTGTAGGGTCTTGTCCAGTGTTGATTGCAGTTGTCTGTAGAATTCCTCCTTCTTCCCTTCATCTGCATTATTTGTATGATTGTGACTTTCCTTCCTTTTGAGTTGAATCCATCTTGCTGTCATGATCCTGCAGGAAGAGATTGGTTCCCAGTGCACGAGAGCCTTCGATGTTCTTGGAAGGGGGACATCATGATATTCACTCCAGAATTCAGTGTGCTGGTGGTTGCCGTCTGGATGGAAATATCGGAGTAGATCATTGACTCTCCAGTTGAGAGTTGGGAGAGTTCACTTCCATTCCATGTTCCCTTGCGGATTCTAAACACTTCTATGCCATACTTTCTCATTTTTTTGCAATCTGAGCAGCCGGACATTCTATATCCCCACCCTTGCTTTTGCTTTCATTGAAAGCGAGGAGACACATCGGCCAATCGGCTTCCCGAGGGCTTTCACCAACCGGCGTCATTTCATCTCTCCGATTGCAGCGAGGAATAAGTTTATTTTTACATTTTCTTTGTGCTTTGAAGTTTGTTTAGTGATTGATTGATCTTCCGGGGTAGGATTGCCAGCCGTATCCAGAACGTTTGCTCTTTATCCGAGCTTAGGACCGGGCAATCAGCTAGTGAACTAGTTAACCAGGCGAGGTTAGTTTGGTGATGATACTTGTAGAACAAAGCATTTTCCCCACGGATGTCTAAGTGTTTTGGAGCATGCCCTGAAATTCTGGTCTATGTCTTACTTTCAACTCATGAGTGTTTTTAAATTTTGTGAAAGCGATTGAAAATGATGCGACTAAGGTATTTTTATAGAAATTATTTTGGACATATTTAATGAGTAGTTTTGGATATGTGGGGGAACTAATGTAGCTGTAGAGAATATCTTTTTCCTAGCTTTTTTTCTCCTCCTTTCTCGATTCCTGTTGTCACTTTGACCCATTTGAATGCAAGCTGGGTGATAGGATTTGACAGCCTGTTAACAATTACAAGTTTCGACCTTCTGATAAATTTCCTGTTATCTGTTCTCCAAAAGATTCTTTTGAAATAATCACCAATTCAATTTTGTTACCTAAGCATTACACTTCTGGTCTACTGAAAAGTGTCTTGATCAAACTCTGCTTTTAAGTATCAATGCAGAAACCGTATAGTTGATCAGTTCATACGTCTTTCTTCTAGAAATTTTTTTTCATTGTCCTATCAGTTTTCCACTGTGTATTTCAATGTTATCTTACCCATAGTCTTCAGTAAATTAATTAGCTGTTGGAGTGCGTTTCATTTAACTTTGTGCTAGACTGTATCGCGAAATGGCTCATCAAAATCCTAGAGCCTGTTAGAAGACGAATCGCCATCCATTCTCTACGTGATACTCTTGGATTTATTGATTGTTTAAGAGATGAAGACGTATCTAGTAAATGTGACATGATATCACTTGATGTCAAGTCACTTCTCACCAATGTTCCACTTACCGAAAATATTTCATCCATTTACATAAAAGATAACAACATAAATGTTGGAATACCGACCCCCTGCCTTGAAGAAATGTTACTTGAATGCACATTTAACGTTAAGTTCACACTTGACGACATGATCTATAGACAGAAAGATAAAATCGCCATAGAATCCCTACTTGGTCCACTACTAGCAGACTGCTTTATGTTCACTTTGGAGAACGGACCCTTGAAATCAACGGTTGAAGGTTTTCATCTGTACAAAAGGTACATGGATGATACATTTATTATCTGTGATCATCAATATTATTTGAATCATGTTCTACAAATATTCAGTAACGGTATTCAGCAATTAGATTCACACTTGAGGTCGAAAATCGATCAAAAATTCCTTTTTTTATGTAGGACTGACAAGAACAGCTGATGGAATGCTAAGTAGATCTATTCACAGAAAACCAATATGGGATGGTCAACTGACGAACTTTAATAGCTGGATACCTGAGTCGTAAGCGAAACCTGATCATGTCTCTTGTCACTGGTATTAGACGAAGCTGCAGTTCCGATGTGTTAGGAGACTACATTTCTGTTCTAAAGAACATCCTGATTGAAAACGGATCCCCACCACGCTACATAAACAAACACATCAAACCTAAACCTCACAAAGAGAACCTCACCATCGTGCCAAAAGAAAACCTCTGTATGAATCTCAACTTCAAAGGAGATTCTGCCGCTGACACTGTGAAAAGGAGGATATCAAACACTGTAAGGAGAACATTCTTTGCATCAACGCTGAGACTAGTATTCTCTTATCACTCAACGGTTTGTAGCAACTCAGAGGAGAAACTTTGACATCTGACCACTTCTATATGCATATATCAATTTACCTACTCTTGTGGAGCCAGGCGTATAGGTTGTTCAGTGCGACTGTTTTGGAAAGGGGGGTTAAGAACACTATCCTGCATAGTTACAAAGAGGTAAGAATGGAGCGATAAGGAGTGCTATAATTGAACACGTCGTGAACATGAATCACGCTACATGAAGAACCTCCTCGTTTAAAGTCATGTATCAGGTGAAAATAAACGTTTCAAAGACTGAACATCTTCGTATTCTCCGCAACGCCATCCATATCGAGAAACGTGAACTGTGTACGCGAAAGAAGATTGTTCAACTTCTCTTTTCAGTCTTTGTAATCTCCTCTATCCCCACCTTCACCTTTTCTTTCAATTTTTCTGTTTTGACACTATTCACTTCCTAAGTAATTAGCTACTCATTCTTGTTGTTATGCTCTGCTTGATCACAATTCAGTTTTCAATTATGTCGTCATGTTACCAAACTTTTTGTCTAAATTTATTTCGATTATTATGCACTACTCATCAATTTTTAGTTTTATGATTTTATGACAGCTCATCTATTGACACTATTTGTGTTGCCATGCTTGACAAACGGTTTTTAATTATTAAATCCTTGCACTAGAAAAAAAAGCACAAATTTGCGATTGTGCAGCTTTGAAAATGAATTTTCTGAAAAGTGACTCTGCTGAAATATACGTGTTCTTCTTTCATATTTAATTTTTGTCGATTACAAATGAGTCCGTTGTAACCTATACTAGTAACAGACGTTCATCTGTATCTAAAACATGGATTTTCAAACTCATGTTGTTACTTGTGTTAGGGACCGATCAATCCGGTCCAATGAACGACGGAATAATACAAGCAACACCATTAAAACTATACACGTAGCACAAGAAGTAATGGCTATCATTACTCGGTGGTCTAGTGGATAACACTTTTGCGTTTGAAGTAATCTGTCTCTATTCCGAGTACCAGTAAGGACAACATCGTTCACTGAGAGGTAGGTACATCCAGCTAACGAGTCTCAAATTGGACGAAACGCACGTCAAGCTGGATTCCACTGCTGTCTATCATTAATTTTCCCATTTATCCTAGATAAATGTTAGTAATTAATTTTTTGTTCACTTGCCAGTTAACTTATTGTTCTTGTTATTTTATTTCTTTTCATAATTATAGTCGGTCATTGCTTTTGTCTCTTATGCCAAGTTACTACTTTAAATGTAGCTTTCAATTCACAGAATAAATCGTTAGTCACTGTGTTTATTTCAAATAATGTAAGTGGTAACTTTTGGTTTTAATCTCATAGTTTTTGTATATGCTAACATCTTTAAAGTCAAACCAATTTTCAATATTTTTTACCACATTTGTAGACTACTTTAATAGTGTTTTATAGGGTTTTCTGGGATTCAAAACATCTACCGCACATACTTGAAAGTAAATTTAAGCTTAAATGTCACTTGTTTTCTTCAGAAGATTTTTTTCTTTATACGTTACGGGCTAGTAGAGAGTGGTTTTCCTCATAAATGACCTAGTACATCATTGGTTGAGTAAGGTTACTTGTTCCACGGCCCTGTATTGATAACTTCTGCCACGAGGTCGTATCTAATGGCTTCATTTGGTACGATTGTTTCCATAAACGTGAAATAAACAAATGTTTGACCTGCATAATAGGATTAATTGACACAGAACGTGTACTTGGAAGAGTTGAGCAACCCTGATTTTCACACAAGTTCCACCTGTCTAAATTTGGGCGTTCTGGCTCTATTAAGACTTCAAAACTGTTACTTGATTCCCTCTCCACTGGTATCTTAAACTGTGTGGTCAGTTTTTCTTTTTCCCTTAACTACACTGTTATTGTTGTATCTCTTTCTATATGAAGTGCCTTTTATCATTTTTACTTTCATCTTCATATCATTCAACTCTTCTTCATTGTTTCAAATTCTGGTTTCCATTTGTTGGGTAACCTCTCTAAAGAGTTGCTTCCACCAAACTGATCGCCGGTGTGATATCTGACCCAACCATGCGTACCGTTTAAGCTGCCTTCGACGTTTTGATGCAGAACGGTAAACTAGGAGGTTTAGCCATGACGGTAGAAAACAAACCTCTCTCCTTCTGTATTTTGTGTCTTGAAGACGTGCACACAATAGCCCAGTGAAGTGTTTTAAGTAACTACTCCCTCTGTCAGTTTATAAAGTATGTTTACTGTACACTTCACCAGGAAACCTGTGGTATTGGCATATAACCTTGTTGGTTTTAGTATCCCGCGAAGCGCTAGCAACGAAGAGTCACTACCCGACTGGATCCTTATCTACAGTTGTCTGCGTGTTGTTGGGTTAAAGGTTTGGCTGCAGTAAGAACTAGATGGCAAGAGAAAAACTGTTTCTTCATCACCTCTTCGTATACTGGGACTGATTGTAGCTTGGAAGCAGTTAACCATGAGTTCTACCATCAGTTAAGTGACCTATACTGGGTACGCTCGACATATATCATAGTGCTAGTTGTAGACTTGAATGCTCACTTCGGGCGTCCAGGTTCAGATGATCGATTACGTAACCAGTGGAGACTAGTTAGTCCCAGATAGTATGATAAGAACTTCCAGTGATTATGTGCCATTCACAACTTAATTATAGTCAACACCAGTTTCCAACACAGTGATTGTCTTTGCGCCTTCTGGCATTATCTTTCTGCCACTCAAATCTGGAATTATCTGGACCATTTACCGATTGTGTAGGTGTCTTCCGGACTGCCAGTTGTTTTAGAGCACGCGTTTGGTATCGAATTATACCTTGGTGCATGCTAAATTAGTATTGGATTTTGATGATCACCACAACTTTTGGTCTGTTCTGGCGGCTAAAATTTTTTACGTGATACGTCATAAAGCACTTGCATGTGTACAAAGAAGCGGGTTGTTTAAAACTCTTGAGTGAGGTTGAAGCAGTGACTGCAACTGAGTGACTGCAACTCAATGGATGAAGACTGTTCCTGTTAAGTCGAGTCACCGGTAGCAGGAGGCTTATGAGATAGATTGTGCACTCATCAACAACATTCAGTGACATGTGGATCCCTGAGAGGAGCACTTCGTACAGAAATTCAGATAACCTATTGCTCTAGCTGTCTTGTCAGCGCACGCTGCTCCACGATCGGTTAAAACTGAATCACCTAATAAAGCAAAGTCTCGAATAAAATCCAAGTGCGCGAGCGCTCCTGATGCAAACAACTTACTCTCAACTGCTTTTAAGGATAGAAGTTAGACGGTAGTCAAAGAGAAACTGGAGCACGACAACTTTACTTATTCTGAAGAAACTTGGTACGACCTTCAGTTCCACAGGAGAATAGTGATCGAAACTTTAATTGACCCTCACAAAAGGATAAGAGCCCCCACTGGATTTCAGCAGCTCCATCTGAATTAGTGGATTCGTATAACGCATTCGTTCAAGCTTGGCATAATGGGGAGCAGAAGCAACTTAGAGTCGACACAATGACCTCAGAGAGAAGTGGCTTGGAAACGGAAAAAGCAGGAGCGTTAGGCAGCAGTAGAAAGTGATCTAGGCGTAACGAGAAAAATGGAGTTAGACAGTGGTTAGTAAAATTAAAGTGGTGAAGAGTAGATTAGTGATTCTGTCTCACAGAAAACGAATAGAATGATGTGTAGAACACTTGGAAGAATAGTTCAAATGGCCTTCACCTACTGTTCGACCGTCAGTGAGCTTTCACCGGAGGTATTCTTTGGTGGCGAACTCGGTTGATCGGTTAGACTGACTACAGTTTTAGGTGGTGTAAAGGAATGAGATATAATTCCCTCTAAGTGGTCAGTGATTGGTTATCCCAGTTTTCAAGAAAAGAGGTATCTTTGTGTGATAGTCTCAGAAAAATCAGCCTTACGAACAGTGTCCGTGTCTCTATATTGCATAATCGTCGGACGCTCAAGTGAAGCTAAAGAATGGCAAAAGCGTGGAGACCGGGTAGGCCTTAGATCTGGTTATGGGGATATCGAACAGATCTTCACCCTCCATCATGTTTTGAAACATAGGCACAGTTACTAGCGTGTGACGTCAGCTGTATTTCTTGACCTGAAGGCGGCATTCGACGCTGTCGATGGTGACGTCTTATTGCGGTATCTATCAGGGGAAGTAGTGCCGGGTAAGTAAGCCACTCTACTCCCTGTATTCGAGAACACGGGTGTTAGATTCCACTGTGAGGTATGAGGTAAGTTTTATGTGTATGTTGTTCGTCAAGCGTGTCCACTTTCCCCGTTTGTATTCAGAACCGTAGTAAATGTAGAATACACAGACAATATTATAGTTGTCTTCTGGGTGACCGGAGTAGATTATTGACTCTCCAGTTAAGAATTTGGAGAGTCCACTTCGGTTTCATGTACTTTCGCAGATTCCAAGCACTTCCACGCCATACCTCCTTTCTCTTTTGGAATCTGGGCAGCCTTGGTAAGTTCATACAAGGTGCGGACATTCCATATCCCGATGTTTACTTGCGCCTTCATCGAGAGAGAGAAGACACATCGGCCGACTGGCTTCACTTGAAGACGTTGACAAGAGTCTGATGGAAAGTGTGACTGACAAATAAGTTGCTGAAAATGTTCAAGACTTTGCAGATGACAAAGAATGTGCTACTGTGACCGATTATTAGCCTTATCACCAAGAGTATTCCAACATTTATTCCTATTACCTCAATGACACTAGCCAGATAGTCTGCATCTCCCTACGCTGCCCAGATCAAAAGTCAGAGACTTTACGGAATTGCACAACATCTTAGTCCGACCACCCTTCCCCTCTTGAAACGCAGTTGTATTTTAGCTATAGTATTGCACATGAAGGTAGGTAGTGACTTGGTATGCGTGAAATGTGCTCAAACCACCCCAGTCTCTGAGAGTTCACAATTTTCTTATTTAGCACTCTTTGCCTAACTTCGACATTGCTCACATGTGGCAGTATTACGAAGACATCTGAAAATGTAGACACTCCGATAATCAATAGTTAATAACTTCATCATTCAGTTTTTTCTCCTATGCGTTTATTATTTTTCTTCACCCCTTACATATGCGTACTGTAACTGTCGCACGGAATCTAATCAGCAGGGCTAACTGTCTTGTTACAACGAAAAAGGATAAAGAAGCAGTTAGTTTGCCGCACACTGGAAGCAAACAATTATTCCAGTGGTTTCGTTTAATATATTTTAAAAAATGAAAATAAGAATGTGCCGAAACTCCCTCCGAAGAACTGGATAAGCACTGTCATAATCCCATGCCGTAAGGGGACTTCTAAAGAAATAAGAATTTTCAACAAATACAACAGAGTTTACTTTCGTGCGACAAATACGCTATGTTCTAACTTAATGAAAGTTAAAGATTTAGTACCTAAAGAAAATTAACAGAACTGCGTTCATGAAACCGAATGCTGAGATTGTACTGCACTGTATTTAAGGGAAACAGCCAGGTAGGTAAATGTGAGAGTCAATGAGCATAAACTATGCTTAAACTAGACCCCACAAACCTCAGCAGTCGCGCTACACTCCATAGAAATAGGACATAAAATTGACTTTGATGGAATTAAAATTCTGGACAAAGGTTTTTGGTCATACCAAGAAGAATTAACAACTGAAGCCCTACATATATGGGTGAATCCAGACAGTTTGAACAGACAAAATAGAGTACAGTTGGTTAGCTACGTCTTGACAATTACTATTTAGTAAATAGAAAGAGTAACTTAAAGCATTTACCGTCAACACCAGTGTCAACTTCATTATTTCTGTATCAACAACAACACAATCTGGATTGATTTGATTCACTATTACTATCATCATTTTCATCATCACCGACGTTATGATTACTTATTTCCACTCTTTTTTCGGTAAATCAACGAAAAATTCGTTAATACTATTCATCACCATATCTCAACTGAAATAGCGTACATATCTATATAATCAAGGCGAATATGATTTAGAGTACATATATACATATATAAATAACATACATGCATACACACACCGATACGCCATACAATAAGAGACACACAATTTCACGCTAAATGTTTGATTATCATAATTTAGGATTAATTAAGGTTTGGATAAGGGGATTAAATGGGTTTTTTTCGGTTCATATATATATGCTTGATATTTTAATTTTGATTACTTTCCTAAAGAAGCTTGGACCAGACTTTCGTGCGAAACGTTGAAATTATTTGATTTCAAACTTACTGTGACTTAAATGAATACAATCTATATCTAATGTCAACTTTTTACTCAGTATCCAATATTTTCCATACTATACGATCAAATCTTGATCATAGTTTATAAAAACTTATATAAACTGTAATTGTTGAGACTATTTATCCACTTACCTCATCCTTCAGTATTGCGTAACTTTTATTTTCCTAAGCTTTTGACCTTGGATCCATCGAGCGTCGATTACGTCATCACCATTTGATCCGTAAAAACTGTTCACTTCTATGTTGTTACACTTAACTCTGTCTCAGTCTACGTTATATATATATATATATATATATATATATATATATATATATATGCTCTTTTCCATTGCTTAACGGTACATATAATCAAGTATGTAGAGTAGTATCCAGCTGACGAATACTATTGAAATTTATGAATTCATTAAATCCTGCTTTTTCACATTCGTTGCTTGTTTTACATTTTGTATCGGGAAACAAATGTTTTCAATATACTAAACTATTTGTATTCAAGTAAGGCTGGAAGAGGATCTAATTGAAAACAATATTGTTCGCTTATATATCTTATTCTAATTTACATGATGGGAATTTTTAAAACATAAATTTCTCAAATGTGTATGCATACATGCGTTTCGGATAATGTCATTTATGCACTCAGTAATTCTTATTTAAAAAAAAAATATTTTTCTGTATTTCTTGGTTATAGTTTGTCGAATTGAAAGGAAATGTATTTCGTAAAATGGGAAAAACAAATTTATTTCAAATTGCTTGTGCTGATGTACGTGAACGGTTTCATTATTGCGTTTGGCTATTTATTATTGTGGGCCGTAATATGAATGAAAATGGATGGAATCTGGGTAAGCGGATGTAAATAATTACAATTTCATATAGATATTCGCCTTTATATGTGAATTTGCTATGAGCAACGACACTGAGCAAAATATTAAGCTGCATCATCCTGGAGAGACTAAAGGATGCACTGGATTCAAAACTACGACCGGAACAGGCTGGCTGGATTCAGGAAGTACAAATCATGTGGGGACCGAATTGCAACGCTTCGCATCATCATAGAACAGAGTATAGAATGGCAGTCAACCCTCTACCTCAACTTCATCGACATTGAAAAGGCCTTCGACAGCGTCGATCGTTAAGTAATTTGGCAGTTGCTTCAACATTACGGAATACCACAAACCTTTATCAATCTCATTCAACAGCTATGCGAAAACGCCACATGTCAAGTAATTCACAATGGGAAGCTCAGTGATGCTTTTGAAGTGAAGACAGGAGTAAAACAAGGCTCTCTACTATCACCCATGATATTCCTGATTGTAGTGGACTGGACTGGATCATGCAACAAAGAGTGAGGAGCGAGAAGAGGGGGATACACTGGCTGGACTGTGGAAAAGAACCTAGAAGGTCTGGATTTCGCCAGTGATGACTTGTGTCTAATGTCACACAAACTCGAAAATCTACAGTAGAAAACCATCAAGTTGGCGGAAGAGGCGAGGCAGCGAAGGAAGACGAGACCTCCTTTAGGTGAATGTAGAGAAGAGGTGATGAAGATGCCCAACCAACACCACCAACAACTACAACAAGCTGCAATCACCATCAGCGGGAAAAACTTAAAGAAAGAGGCTTCTTTCACCTATCTAGGTGGCACTGTTTCAACTACAGGTGCCATAGCCACAAAGGAGGACGTCAAAGTCAGGATGGGAAAAACAAGACAGGTGTTCATTAGACTGAAACCAGTGTGGAGATCTTCTGCACTCAGCATGTGGAATAAGATCCGGATTTTCAACACCAACGTCAAGTCAGTGCTTCTATGTGATGGTTGGGAGACTTGGCGCGTTACAAAAGGCATTTCCAAAAAACTACATGTAATTATCAACAACTGTTTACGCTGGCTCGTTACTGAAGCTCAGATGGTCAGAAAGAATAACCAACAAGGAACCGTGTGAACGAACCGACCAAGAACATATCACTGAACAAATATGCAGAAGGAAGTGGAGGTGGATTGGGCATACACTGAGAAGACCATCAGGGGACATCACGCGCCAGGCCAGTCCCTTGAGTGGAACCAAGATAGGAAACGGCGAGTCGGGCGTCCGAGGCGAGGTAGACATGGATGAGATCATGTGAGGAAGAAATGAGAGCTTGTTGGTTGTCGTGGAGCCAGGTTCAAAAGATTGCAGAGAACAGAGCGCATTGGAGACGTGCTACCGAATCCCTATGTTCGATTAGGAACCCAAGGGACAAATAGTAATAATATAATAGTAACATGGCATAATTTTAGATTTGTTTATTCAATATATAGCGCACAGTGATGGCATGATTTGCTTGACGACATTTCAAGAATAAATTATCATTGCTCATAATCATACAATACTTTTGACATCTGACTTCTATAGTCCTGTCACCTGTTATTCTTTGGTGATATTGGTGGTGAAATTTTCCATATCTCCGATATAAGTTTGGCGTCATTCCCATTATATGTGTTGGGTATAGATTCAATGAACAAAGCTTCGGCAATCATCCATCTCTCTTTCCACCTAATTATATTGGATTTAAATACAATGGTTTTATGCCATCCACCCTATTGTGTGGTTGTGTGTTAATGCATGCATAGCAATAGCCGAGTTTTTTTCTAGATCGCTGATCTTATTGTGGTCTGTCATTCTATATTTAGCTAAATTCCTATGTTCGGCTGTTCTAACTGACCCTAACCGGCAAGTATGACCTATGTACTTGACCTCACAGTCATTACATGGAATTTGATCGATTACATTATCTAGCTTAATTGGATCTATCGGATCCTTAAGCCGGCAAAGCTTAACTCTAGCTTTGTTGAGGATTCTACTTGAAGTTTCTAATGTACCTTCCTTATAAAGTAACACAATAGGGGTTGTGGACTCGTGTTGTCGATATTATTTGTGTTCGTATTACTGTTATTTTTCGTTCATTATGTGTCCGTGCGAATTTCTTGATAAACTGCGGAGGATAATTACTCACTACTAGCGCTTCTTTTATGTGCTTCAGTTCCTTGTTTAGGTCCTTGCACTGACTGGTAAGTTTTCTAGCTCTATCACTTAAACATTTGACTATGTCTGCCTTAACTGACATTGGCTGAGATGACTGAAGTCTAGATACCTGTTAGAATGTATCGGTTTTCTGTAGACTGTCTGTCCTTCGTTTTATCCTGCAGTCCAACATAGGTAATTCTCCTTGTTCATTTTCTTCTTTGGGTTGCGTCCACTACTGAGTTTATATGTGTGAAGAAACTGTCGTTGTGTTACGATTTCAACGGAGTGAATATGTCATCCACATACTTCCAGCATATCTTAGTTTCAGAAGTAAACGTTTTTAAAGTCATATCTTTCAAACTATCCATAATGATATCTCCTGCTGTACTTAAGTCCAATATAATTAGCTAGACATAGAGATAGACCCTCCAACACTAGCAGAAGTCGAGAAAGAAGTAGGTAGCCTTGAAATGAGGAAGGGCAGCAAAACTAGACGGACTAACTCCTAAGGTATACAAGGATGGTGGTGGAGTGCTCTTAATCAGGTTAACGGAAGTGTATGGGAATCAAACACGATCCCCTCTGACTGGTCTAAGTCACTGATCATCCCAGTCTTCAAGAAAGGCGAGAAGTCCTGTTGTGATAACCACAGAGGAATCAGCCTGACAAACATAGTGTCTAGGATCGTAGGTTCCATAATTCTTCAACGCCTGAATGGAGCTCGGGAACAGCAAACCGGAGAGAACCAGACCGGCAGGCTTTAGACCTGGTCGTGGATATATCGACCAAGTATTCAGACTGCTCCAGGTTCTGGAACACAGACACTTTTACCGGCGCCCGACACTGACTGTATTTCTCAACCTGGAGGTGGCGACATTGGACTCTGTTGATCGAGAAGTCTTATGGCGATGTCTCTCACTGAAAGGTGTGCTGAGTAAGTAGATCACTTTATTGAAGGCTCTCTAATCGAACATTTGTGAGCTGGTTAGAGTTAGTGGTGAGATATCAGGTGAGCTGTACTCATCGAGTGGTGTCCGTCAAGGATGCCGAGTGTCTCCATTCTTATTCATTTTGATCATAGATATTCTTATGGAGGTCTCCCTCTCATCACCTGATTACACACATAGAGGTTGACCTAATCGGTGGAGAATTCTCGTTGGACCTGTAGTGTGTGGATGACATAGTCGTGTTAGGTGAAGACGCTGACAAGATGCAGAGTCTTCTGAACACTTTGAGTGGGAATTTGAGAATGTGTGGGATGCGTTTTACACCACGCAAATGAAAATTGCTGCTCCAGGATTTGTCCATCAGTGCCTCATCGCGGCTAACAATAGAGAGTGAATTGGTTGAGTGTGTCGACCACTTCACTTAGCTGGGAAGTATGATCAACCCAAGTGGCTGAGTGGCCGGTGGAATGCACACACGAATACAAAATGTTCGGCTGGCTTTTGCCGACTTAGGCCACCTGTGACACCACCTTGATATCCGATTGTCAGTAGACAATGGTCGTGTGTAGTGTAGTGTAGTGTACCTCAGTGCGGTCTGTTCTACTGTATGTCTGTGAAACATGGCCAGTGAAGGTGTAATACATGAGAAGGCTGGCTTCAGGTGTTTGACTACCGTTACCTTCGTGGTATAGGCCGTTTTTTTTGTGGTGTGACGACGTGAGTAAGGCAGAAGTGAAGTGTAGAGTTTTAGAGAGGATAGTGAAGTCAGTTGACACGGTTGTGAAGCTTCATGTAGTGAGATGGTTGTGACGTGTTACGTATGCGTAGTGACCGATTTCCTCGTCACCGACTGCTTTGTCACACAATGTTGTTTGAAGTAGGTTGAGGCTGGATGAGGGGCCGAGGTGGCCAGACTAAAACATGTCACCAATGTATGAAGTCTGTGACTGTTGGTTTGAGTCATGTGGTGCGATGCAGACTGGTTGGTTAGGGTTGTTTGAGACGGACTGTAGATGATATGTCTGAGAACGGATGTGAGTGGCATAGATGTATGCACACATTATCCTCATCTTGACGACGCTATACCGAATCTCACCACTTTCTCATTCTTCGTTTCTCTCTTTTCCTACTTTATATTTCTTTTGACTGAATTATCTTATGTTCATTTTGCGCCTGACTGTCTTTTTACCTAATGTACTGATATTTAGTGTGGCGACTCGAACCGTTACGCAGTAATGCTTGGTCTTAGGTTGATCTGAATGGATGGATGGATAATTAGGTGGAAAGAGAGACTGATTGATTACTGAAGCTTTGTTCATCGAATCAACCAACACCCAACACATAATAGGAATGATGCAACACCTATACCAGGGATATAGAAAACTTTACCAATAAAAACAAACAATATCAGGTAACAGGACTGTAAAAAGCAGATATCGAAAGTGGTGTAAATACCTTGATATGATTATCAGCAATAGTTTTTTTGCTCATGACGTCATCAAGTAAACAGTATTGTATCACTATGTGCTGTTTACGAAATGAACAAATCTTACCACAATGCCCAAGTTTTACACTTATATTAATGATATAATTTCATTTCATGAAGCTGTCATTAACTGCTCACACAGATATGGTTGGTGATTTTATCAGTAGGAAGTCAACTGGCGTATATGTTCAACAGGTGGTGTAAGGACATATGGTAGGTAGTTACAAGAATTGAACTGAAAACGATAAGGTATTTTGATATTTTACGTTGATATGTTATAAACTAGGATATTCTCGTCAACAAGAAGAAATGTTTAGGATCTAGACAAGAGACGATGTGAATAAGTTCATTAGGTAGATTAGGTAATACCGAAGGAGAGTATGGTGAGTTGAGTTTAGTCGGAT